TCCTTCCTAGGGATGCACCTCCAGGTCCAGCAACAAAAGCAATAGGCTGGATCAGTTCTTCTCATATACAGAGCAACCACAAATTACCAACAATCATCTTATCTATGGCCACCTTAACTCAAACTGATAATGTGAGAAACACAAAGACTGCAGTTGCTCATCTCTCCTTAAAAGGTAGCACCCTAGTTGTCAAACTGATTTAGTCACCTTTTAAATCATTGACCTGGTATATGTAAATCAGTTGTGTTTACTTTTGCATCAATGTTTGCATGCTTGCTCTGCGCCATTGGGACTGATTTACTAAAGGCAACTAGGTTGTTCACTTTGCAAGGGAATTTTCCCTTAACTTAGTTAATGTGGCAAAAATTAACTTTGCAAAAAATGCCCAATCACAGCCAAGGAAAAAAAAAACAAAAGCAATATTTTTTCTTGCACATGATTGGAGGTAAGCAGAGATTCACTAAGCTACGTGAAATTTACCTTGCATTGTAAACAGCCTGTTTATCTTTAGTGTTTCAAACCCAGGGTCTCAGAAGGTATTACACTGATGTACAACCAAGCAACTACGGTACCTATTTCAGAAGGAGGTGAACAAATGGCAATATTTCTCTCTGTACAGGTTTTAATTTACTGTGTCCACTGCTAAACCTGTTTCTTTTACCTTTAAATCTGTATTCAGAATACACACTATGTTACTCTTGTCATATTGCCAATGGTATCATTGGTATTCTATAGCGCTTCCTTGTTTCTCCAAGCTTTCATTTCCCCACACAGCAGCTAATGTTTCCACAGTGTGTCATAAGTAGCTCAGACACACATACATGCTACATTATTACATAAAATGCTAATCTATTATTACTGCCACCAGTGTAAATAAACGTATTTGATCATTTAAAAGGTGTCTACAGATACACAATAAACTTTGTTTCATAATAAACCTGGTGGGAGTAGATTGGTTTATGCTACAAAATCATATCTGTGTGTCTATATGCAACACTTTGTGTGTGCATCTCATGAACATTTCTTTTTTATTTGAAAGGCCCATTACTAAATCAGAAAACGAAGTTTGTTAATCAAAGAATGCAAAACAAACAAAAAAACAGTACATTTTAAATTAGCTTCTGAAATCATTAAACATGCAAACCATTATTCATGTAGTGACAGAAATATGGTGGCTGCCACCATTGTCAGCATTATTAAACTGCATTAATACTTAGCATAGTAATGCTAATTCAATATTTGAAAACCTGCAGGTAAAGAGAACCTTCCACTTATCTATACAAACCTAAATGCAGCCTCTCTAGTTAGTACCCCTGTAGAATATACAAAAATAAATAAAATTCTAGGCCATGGAATCCAAGCACTCTTTTTTTCCTGAAGTTCTCCTTGGGTCACTCTTTTTCTATGCTGTTATCTTAGATTTCCAGTAATATAGAGCCGGCTATCTCTTCATTTTCACAGCCAGCCCCTAACACCCGATTTGATCCTGCACATGTGCAAACGTGCCGCAGGTCTTGAATGCAGAATCAAAATAGTACATACTTCAGCTCATACTGAAACATATCCTCCTGAGATGTGCGAGGTGGATATCCCAGGAGGCTGTGGGCGACAATCACTACGTCATCACGCCTAGACAAAGAATCAGGAAAAGGGAGGCTACACCATGATTAGGGAAAAAAATTGTATTTACATTCACAAAAGTAAAGAAACTATTTGTAACTGTAAAAAAGGGAGGACGGGAGGAGGAGGAAGATGAGAGGAAGTTAACTTTGTGCTGAAAGGTCCGCTTAAAGCTGTTTACATATTGGCCACACCATGGATACATTAATACCTATTCTTAGTGTGGTCAATGTTACTAACCACACAAATACATCTTGCTCACACAGCCACTTTCCTATAAGAAGTCGCCTCACAAAATGAGCTTGGCGGTAATGTAAGAATTATTACATGTTCTTATATAGCTGATTTACATGGTTCGAATAGCTTAATACGCACTGCATAAATGAAAGTCCAAGGAAAGTTCTAAAATAAGTTGCTGTTCTTTGGAGAAGAATGCAGCAATTATTGCAGGCTGTGTGTGTTAGTAGGATCAACATGATCAATGTCGATCACAAGAACTTCTTTATTTAAGGAGTTACTCATTAACTGAAAAGCACAAGTGAGGTAAACAAACGGTTGTTATCAGTTGAAGCTTAATTTGCTATGTTTATCAGCAAAGTTGGTCCAGGTGTTAATTATTCATTCAGAAAATGTATGTCCCAAAATATGCAGTTAATTCATGGTCTTTATGTCATCGAGAAAGTGACGGATACATAAAATACAGCACAGGAATCCAGAAGCAGTGGTTCAACAGTGACATGTGATTGTCAGTTCCTTTTAAAGTAAACGTGTATCAAATAATAGTAGGGAATACTATGCCCTGAGGGAGGGCATAGTATTTTTGTCATATCTGTAAAGTCCTTTTCTTGAAGTGTACAGGACACAGGATGGTAATTCTGAAACCATTGGTTATACTACCACCTTCCGAGACTGGACAATGGCAAAACAAAGCTGTAACCACAGTCCAGTATAACCCCTCCCATTCCCTGCAAGCCTCTGTGTTATAGCAAGCACTAACAGGAGTGGATCATAACAAACAGAAGGGAAGGGATTTGTGTCCTGTAATATACTTTGGTAAAGATTTTACAGGTAAGTCAAAAACACTATTTTCTTAGTTATACATTACAGGACACAGAATTGTAATTCTGATACCATGCAACATCCAAAAGCAGTCAGAGGGGCAGGCAACAGAAGAAACAAATGGCCAAAAAGCCTGAAAAAACATGACACCCTGCACAAAGACCTTCACTAATTAGTAAGAGGCAAGTGGCCTCTGAAAAAGAACTGCTAAGCTGAGATTTGACCATTGATTGTACACATGGCTAAACGCTGGCTCAGACCAGACTGCAGAAAAGACAGGATTCATCCCACTGAGAACCTCCTGGGATGGAATTTCCTTGCCTTGCACCAAGCAAAGTACCATTTCGAAGTGCAATAAGAGACTTTGGGAGAAGCTGATTACCTAGCTTTTAAAAGTATAGGGATAACTGAATCCGATAGGCCCCTTCCCATCAGGACCAAGGCTTCAACAGCCAAGCAGCATGGTAGACTAGCCCTTGTGACAGAAGATCGGGGGCATCTGGGAGGTCCCACAAAGAATTTGCCAGAAGCCTATGTCTGAGTACAACATCCTCAGGGTCCAGTTAGGTGCAACGAGAATAACTGGAATGCCACTCATCTCAATCCTGCCGAGTAGTTGAGGAAGGAGCTTTAGTGAGGGGAAAGGAATAGATCA